CCAGAGTTCATCTTCATGGTTTCTCTCATTTCCTTTTGCTCTAATTAATCACAATCCTTCCTAGAATGTTCATTTCTGGCCAGTATGTCTTCCTGAATATGAATAAGACATAAAATACCATTTGATGTTTGAAATTATGGGGGTAATCTCAATGACGGAAATAGATGACTGGTACAGGGAACGGAATGCCTGATTAAATATATTCATGAAGACGTCAAAGGCTTATAAAGCCAACATCTGGGAATGAGAAAGCCGTTGGGCTACCACATCTTCTCTGGCGAAGTGTGTTTCTCGAAAGCATCACCAACATGGACAACAAGGGGTGGTCGCTGAAAGGTATGTGCAACAGCTCGCTGAGCTGTTGGATTATCAACACTCTTGGGGGTGGCACGAATTCAAAATCTGAGCTAGTATTCTCTTAGCAAGAGGTTTCAGGTTTACAGAGTTTAGAAGGGCTAGTCATTGCTCTAGAGAGCAACTGTAGCAGGGGCAATGGAACAGAATGCTGGTTCTCAACTGGAAATCCTCCTTCTTCTGGAGACATGTGGCTAAAGTCTGGAGAGGTTTTGGGTTGTCTTAATTTGGAATGGGAGTGCTACTGGTATCTAGTGAGTAAAACTCAGAGACACTGCTAAATGTACCGCGATGCACCAGACAGCCCCCAGAACGAGGAACCATCCATCTTAAAACGCCAATAATACCAATGTTGAGAAACTCTGGCCTGGAACAAGACCAGAAATGTCTACGGGTCCAGTTTATCACAACTTCAGAAGGTAGAAACCAGCATTTTTTGGTTCTCAGGCCTCTTATGCGGTTTGGCCGACCTAAGTCAGCCTGATGCAACTTTCAACTCAGAAACCATAATATGGACAAGGATAGAATTGTGTCTTATGATACTCTGTTAACTGGGTTTGGGCCAAATGACATTTCAAAAAGAGAAACAGCCTGGCAATAATTAACCGTCTTTACTTTCTTGGTTGACAGTTGCAAGAAAAAGAAAATTAGGAACAACCATAAAACTCATTTTATGAAATGAAGAACAAAAACATTTATCTATTTTATCTCCTCTTGGACTGTGAGAACCCTTCAGATGATAAACGTACAGATACATGCGGTCAGAGTTAAATAGTATCTATGAAGTTATGAATTTCCGAGAACTGGTATTCCAATTTCTCTATCTGCAGAGCACTTTTTATTTACACCTGTAGATTAAAATATCCATTCAGCTAAGTTACAGGACTATCAAGTACCTAAAACAAACTTTTTGGAAATACCACGTTTTTTTGAAAAATTAAAAGTCTGTTATATGAGTCACTTGACAACACTTGTATCTTTTATTTTGCAGCTAAAAGGTGGTGCGTTACATTCTCTGTTAACAAACAATGTTAGCGCGCATTAAAGTCAAAGTACTGTTCTTTCCAAGTAACGGAAAGACCTTTGCAAGCCCTGAGCCATCGCGGCCACGGCTCTGGCCAGTTGCAGGGATGAAGCCTGAGAGCCCGCAGGTGTGTGCGATGCCACGTGGCAAAGTCAAAGGGATCATACTGGCATCCAGCCCCCTCCACCTGCTAATGATAGGACTTGAGGAAAATCACTTAACCCCTCGAAGCCTCTGCTTCATCAATGTAATTTGATGATAATAATGAAGGTCGAAGCTCTTACAAGGTTACTGGGAAACACAAATTAAAAAAAAAAAAATTCAAAGCTTTTGGCAAAGTGTCAAGCAAGTGCACGGGGGTTATTAAGGTGAGTTAGCAGATCGAGGCCACCGTATCGCTTCGTGTTAGGTTCTCTTCGTACTCGATACTAGCAGTTGTCCATCGTGTTTAGCCTCATCAGTCACGAAAGCAAAACAAACAGATCCACTGTGCTGGGTGTGCTATTTCAGGGTCTAAGATTCAGGTATTAGTCAACACGGAGTTAAAAAATGACAACCTTGGGGCTCCTGGGTGGCTCAGTCGGTTGAGCGTCCGACTTCGGCTCAGGTCATGATCTCACAGTCTGTGGGTTCAAGCCCCACGTCGGGCTCTGTGCTGACGGCTCAGAGCCTGGAGCCTGCTTCCGATCCTGTGTCTCCCTCTCTCTGCCCCTCCCCCGCTCTCACTTTGTCTCACTCTGTCTCTCAAAAATAAATA